AGTTGAATTAAATCTACTTGTCATTGATAGCTTATAAACCACAAAAGAATGAATGCACCACATATATTATAGAAATAATGCACTGTTTAAAATTCATTATATTTATTTACAGTAGCGACACTTTGGCACTAAGCTCATTTAACAGTGTTATATCTCAATCACAACTCAGGATGCAAAAAATCGTATCATCTGAAGAAGCCATGTGTTCTATTCAAACTATAATAAATCTAAAAAGAAATTAAACAAATAAAAAAAAACAGTTTCTCACAGATGATTCAGCGCTGCTTCTAGTGCGCATGCGCTACTTGTCAACATTCTCCTCTGTTGCCGACAGACTGACGACAGTACTTTCAGCTAATATAAAACAAGACGTGCTCTTGTACCTAACCTTAAATTCCAGGGTATGGCAATTCAAAGAGTAGAAAGCACAAAGTATTTAGGCTGCGTTCTTGATTCTAAATTGCATTGGAATAGACATGTTGATTGCATATGTGAAAAAATTGTTAAAAGACTTCCTGTTCTTAAAAGGTTGGGTGGCTGCAAATGGAGTTGCAGCCGAGACACTGAATTCCACCTTCAAGCTTTTCATTCAGCCAATCTTCAGTTATTGCAAAAAAGTTCTGGTCTCTGCTGCTACTAGTACTATTCAAAAACTTGGAAACTATTCAAAACCAAGCTTTCCATAGTATTACAGGTGCTGTAAGAACCACTCCAATTCTAGCAATACAGTGTTTAACTCAAAAACCTTCCAATAAGAAACAAAATTAAAAGAGGTGCAGTTCTTATACATTGCATTAAAGCTCTTTGGAGAGATTATGACACAAACACAGAAAGAAATCTTAAAACTCAAAAAGGGTTTATACAGTATGCTTATCCTGCAGCCACTGACATGAATGTCCACTTCAGTCGTCAACTTCTCTGTGGGCCTGTTTGTCCTTTGGGATATGGAGAGATTTTGGTGTGTCTGAAGCTGGATATGCAGGTTAATAAGAGTCATATGAGTGAACAGGAGGTTTGTGCCATTGCTCTATCTACCACTGAAAACAAATACCCTAGAGACACATGGCTGATTGTCTATACAGATGGATCAATGTTTAACGATGAAGACGGAGTGGGAGCCAGTATGTATTGTGATCTTTTTTCATGCTATGCACCAATAGGTGCTCATTCCACCCATTATGATGGTGAAATTGAGGCTATTTATATTGTATTAAAGCAACTAGCTATCTGCCCCTTGTCATTCTGCAGAGCGGTGATTTTGTCAAACTGCTTGTCTATTCTTCAATCCCTTGCAAGTAGACAGTACTTGTATATTGCAGTGCAGAAAGCCCTCAACGTTAGCCTCTGTTTATTCCATTGCATCCCAGCACACTGTGGATTCCTGGTAATGAGGCTGTTGACTTTTGGCCAAAAAGAGTGCAAGGGTCCTCCAGAGACCTTTCAAAATCCTCTCATTTCATTCACTCAGTTTCCTGATAGAAAGAAGATATGCCTCCAGGATAAAGCAGAGAGCACTTTGTGACTCTGCTGGTAAGCCGTGATCCTCAATGCTTGAGGATACACAGTTGATCCCAGATTTTCCTAGAAGCACAGCTATGCTTTACTACAGGCCATGACTATTTGCCCACATACTTGTATTGGTTTGGACTTTGCGGCTCTTTTTTATGTTCTCTGTGCAGACAACATCAAATTTTTGATGCTACTCATCTTAACTTGCGCTCTGCACTTATATTTTTAAACTATGAAGTTCGTAAATATTGGAAAACTAGAGAACTAATGGCATCATAGTTAATCGTTTGGTTATTTGTAATAAATATTTTTAGAAACTGTGGAAAATCCATTTTCACATGATTATATATAAAGAAGCAAAGTTGATTCAAGTGTTTTTACTCTTAATGATGCTTAATCATATTAATTTGATTTTTATCCATATGTCTAACTGTTTAAGTGCCAGTTACAGCCCACTAGTAACTTAAGTGCTAAAGCTGAGAACACTGTTGTTTAAGTTCTAATTCTGGTGGCTGAGTAAGCTTACTCCATACAGTTTTTAACTGCCTTTATAGTAACATACATTTGAATCAGTTATAAGGTATTTCTCCCGCCTTCTTAGCGTGCTGTCATAGTGTAGTGGTCTGCATGCTGGGTGTGTATTCCAGAGATCCGTAGTCCGATTCCCAGCGAAGACGTTGCTCTGTTTTCATCTTTCATGCTTTGCAAAAGTACTTAATGTCTCTACTGTGGCGCCTGAACTAAAAGGTTATTGGATGATGATTCTCCACACCCAGGATTTGGTGATTGGGTCCCCTAAAAACCCAGTTGCCCTTTAAAAGGGGCAGTTTATAAGGTATTTCTCCCGCCTTCTTAGCTTGCCTTTGTGGTGTAGTGGTCTGCATGTTGGGCGCATATTCCAGAGGTCCATGGTTCGATTCCCAATGAAGGCATCGCTCATTTTTCAAGTCTCCTGCTTACAAAATACCTAATGTCTCTACACGGTTTCCCTAGAAAGCTCCACAAAAGCATCTAACCTTTTATAGATAGACTGTTATGCACTTTGCCTTTATTCAAGTAACCAATAATCAAATTTTTGTGTTTGTTTCAAAATATAAAAAAAGTTTCCTATATTTTAACTTTTTGTTTTAATTTTTTAATTAAAATTTAAATAACAGTTTAAATGTTGTGAACACTGGTAGAAATCAGGGGAATGAATAAAAATATTATTAATGAAAAAAATTTCGTGTTTATTCCTTGTAATATATTCTTCACTGCCCAAGACAGAGTTGCTATGCTGGAAAACCGGGAAAAGTCGGAGAATTTGAAAATTGACCAAAAAGACGTGGAATTTAAATATTTTAGTCAAAATCGGAAAAAGTTGGGGAATTTCATATGGCGATCTCCAAACCAGCAATTTTCGTGCCAGCATTGGGAGTGATTACTTTCTTCTTTGCGAATATATATATATATCGCATGAGCATCATTCGGACAGTTGGCATTGAGCCAATTTTCGCAATGCCAATCAGATCGTCTTTTAGAAAGGCAAAGCTAGTTTTCAGTATTTTTGGTTTCCAGTAACCTCAAGAATCCAGAAAGAAGAATATGTATTATCTGGTTTGCATGCTTGTGTGCACGGCATGTTGAACGAAAGTAAATTTCCCCCCATTCTCGTACAAAACAAAATCTTTTAATCTTTTCTTCTTTCATGAATGTCTTACTTCTAATTTTGCAGTAAAATAAAAAAAAAAAAGTAATAATCAGTCATAAAAGGCTAACTGTTTAATATATCCATATTCCCGAAAATACCGTCGATTTTAGTAATTCAGTTTTTAATCTCTAAGTAATTAACTTAATTTTAATGTTATTCGTATCTTTTAGTGTGGCTTCTTAATTCTAAATTTATTTATCATTAGTTAATAATGCTTTCAAATTTCAGGCAATTTTCTCCGGCATACTTGTGAAACTAATTCTAGCAGTATGATGACATACCATCACGAAATTTAGTGCACATATTTTTTATTTATGCTGCTAAATAAATATAAAATACTTGAATTTATTTTAGGCTATCATTAAATAAATTTCTTTCGTTCTTTAGCTGCAAAATGTCTGCAGAAAAGGCATTTTTTAATCCTGATTGGTCTGATTCTAATCTCAATTCTCAGTGGAGAAAACAACTCCTAGTATAATAGTGATGGGAATTATATACAGTCAAAAGTCCTTAATCCGGACTCATCGGGACTTCGGCTCTTCCGGATTATAGATCATCAGTTTAAATCTGGCAAGATGGCACGCAGAAATTATAAAATAAAAAATATGAAACCGTAATTTATGAAATAAACAGCAATTATGATCTAAAGAGTATCAAAATTTACAAAAAAAAAAAAAAAAAAAAAAAAAAAAAAAAGCTTAATAATTATTTGTTTACTTTATTAAACATTTCTTTCAACGCGCGCATCCGTAAAGCATACATTACGCATAGTCGAAATTAGAAAATTGCAACCAGAGAACTATTTGATTTGTATTCGTGATATTTATAATGACGAGGAATTTGATTTAAATCATATCAAAGACGGAGTACATCGAGATGAAATACTACATTATAAGCCGAATAAAATAAAAATAACTGCCCCGAAGATAAGGATAGTGCTGACAGATCAACTTCCAGTTCATTGCGCGCTGCGACTTCCCCCGCGCAGAGCAGCGGGAAATTGATAAACAGATTTCGGAATGGTTAGAGAAACAAAGGAACCTTTATCCATTTTTTTGCAGCAATTCCACTTTTTGTTGATGGACATCGAAAACATGCTTCCTTTGTAGATCGAGCATCGGAAATTCTTTTGACATAATCGAAAGTTCCAACTTACTTTTATTAAAATTGCTCTAATAGTCTAAAAGAAAATAATAAGCCGTATCCAATTCGAAGATTAAGGAACAACACAAACTGCAGCATTAACTGAAATAGGTAATTAGATAATTTTAGCTTAGCTTGTACCGTCCGTTATACATTAAACGCGCATGCATATACATATTATGCGCATGCGTACACGCATATGCTCATGCGCAGAAAGTTTGTAGCTTTGAGGTCCGGAGTATAGATCATTCCGTATTATGGGTGTCCGGATTAATGACTTTTGACTGTATATGTATATATATATATACTGTATAATCCATATGTAATTGGCAAATTTTTCTGTGTTTAAGTGGTACCATAATTAATTTACCCTCAGCAGAGCCAACGCACACCGTGCAGATTTCCTATAATTACCCATAAGCACACTACCCGTAATTTTCTTGAAACACACATGGAAAAGTTGGGGAATTTTATTCTCCTGTTTGAGTGGCAACTCTGCTAAGAAGCAACCTTTTCTTAAAGAAGTTTACCTTTAAATAGTGTCAGGGTACATTTTAAATAATTTTTCTGTAATATTAGTCAAGTTTTCTTTTATATATATAATATGAATATGTATATATGAATATATATATTTATATATGAATATGTATGTGCATAGTGCTGATGGGTTTTTAATTGGATGTGACTGGACTCGGGCAAAATTCAGTCCTGATGGCCAGTTTTGTGTTTGTGGATCCCAAGATGGATGTATATACATCTGGGTAATTGCTACTGGAGCAGTAGAGAAGGTCCTGAGGGAGCACAGGTGAGGAATTTTGTTCATTTTTTAAAGGTACATAATCTAGACAGCTACATAACTATGTATAAAAGTTTTAAAGTGTTACCAAGTGTATAAAATTTTAAAAAATAAACCTTAAATGGATGCAGATTTGATTTTAAAAAAAGTCTGTTGTTGCTAGAGCAGCGTACCTAGGCCTCTCTTCATCATAGGAGGAAAAATACTTTTTTTTTTTTTTTTCCTTAAAAAATGGACATAATTATCAAACATATAAATCAAGGTGCATAATTAAAGTGCACCTTGATTTATATGTTTAGTATTTGAGTTTTATCCACAGTGCACACCTGGTTGTAAGAAGACTGTTTTTACCTTCTTATTTTTATCTTGATATAGTGGGTGGGAGCAGAAAAAGCTTAACAGGTGTGCTTCTTTTTATTAAGTGTTAGCGTGATTGATTAGAAATTGCAGCAATTTCCATAACATATTGGTCTAAATACACCCTAAAATTTGCATGATGCTACAATGAAATTTTCATGAGTTTGCATTTTCTCTGGGGAGTAGTACAGTCAAAAGTCGTTAATCCGGACTCGTCGGGACTTCGGCGATCCTCACGCGTTTTAAAAATTTCTTAAAGTATTTGTAGTACATAAATAACAGTTTCTACGTACTTTAAAATAATTAATAAATGATAATTATTAAATACTAAATTATAATTGATTAAATCAATTATATAAATAATAATAGTTAATTATAAATGTAAGACAAATATTAAATTGAAAGAACTAAATAAATAATGTAAAACTTTATGAAGCATTTAAATGCAGTAATTACCTAAAAATCTTTTTGTGTGTGATATACTTTAAACTAAATCGTAAACTGAACTAACCAGTAAAACTAAATCGGCTATTAGCTTGGGAACTTGAATCAATTTTACACCACTGTCGAACACTCGAAAAATCTTCCTCATTGCTTGAATCCTCCATCTGAGCTTGATATCCTGTGAACAAATTCTCCATCAGACTCAAAACTTGATAAGCTTTCTGTATCACAATCGTAATCACCATCATAATTATCTAACTTTCGCTTTTGAGCCATTTTACTTTACAAACACCCTAAAAAACGTGCCAAAATACACATAAAAGGAACAATGTAGAAAAAAAAATTCCCCCTTCATTATGAAAAGAAATTCATGGAACCCGTACTGCTATCTGTAGACTGTAAAACTAACTAAATTTCGCGAGTAGGATTCCTTTGTAACATAATCAATGTAGAATAATGATGCCAAACGAGCTCAGCTCGGCAGCGCGCGTTGGGTAAAAATTTCACTATATGAGTAGTGCTTGTTTCTAACCATTTTGGTTGAAATCTTGCTCACAAACAGAACGCATTTGCCCACATTATTAAACGTGATTCAATTGTGAGCTGAACTCATTCATAACCATCAAAGGGTTAAAAGCTATCTCTGTATCAGTGTCTCACTTTCATGATAGAGAAGTTTAGGTAATTTTTTAAGTTGGGTTTTAAAAATAGATTAGAGTAGCATTTGTGAATTATCACTGTCTGTTGAACTCCCAGAACATAAACAGGATTCAAAATATCTCACAGAATGTACAAATCATTGTTCTAAGACAACACACATTCCCAATCTGAATTTCTGAACCTTGATGTTTTAACTGACTAGGTATGAAATGGCTTTGCCATTGAAATTGGCTTTGCCATTCATTGGACACATACCTCAGCAATAATCTCAAGGAGAGATTTGTGGGGCATACTTTGGCCACTCGGTTATAAAATAGTTTTGATAGTAAAGCATAATGGCCCAGATGCTAATACAACCAATAAATGGGTGCCAAATTTTTGATGGAATAGTGAAAAACAGTCAGTTCAACTGCATCAGTATAGGACTCACATAACCTGATAATGAAGTTTTTTTGAGTAATTCCACATAAAATACTTGCAAATATGTTATAGAATTTATATTGCGCAATTTAAAATATGCCATGATGTCAAAGCTGCTACAAAGACTGTCTGGAGTTGGAGAAACAAACGGATTTTGACAATACAAGAAACAGAAAAATTCACACATGACGACGATTTGAAGAAAAGAAAGATTTTTGTGGACTGGGCATCTGAAATTATCTGGAAATTTCTCTTAAAGTGCTAAATTATGTAGCATAAAACGTAGAATAATAATATACGGTACTGAAGACAACAACTAACTATAGTGTAACTCTTTTCCCCGCACTCCTTCAGAAACTATATGGAACACAAAATTTTGCCTTAAATTTTGCTCTATGAAGTTACCATGATTTGGATAACAGAGTGAAACATGCTGTCTTAGTGAGGCTGGGAATTAAGTCTAAAAAGAATACAGTGAGTTCACATATAAAAGTGGCATTATGAATTATGGTGTTTGCATACTAAATAAGTAACATTTTAATGACTTAAATTTATTCTGTTATTAATACCTGGATGATACTGATAACCACTTTTCAATAAACAGTATAAAATGGCACTTGATTAAATAATCCCCCCTTTTTTTTTCTTTTACATTTTAAAACTAAAATATGTTATTTCAGAAAACAGTTTTGCAACTTCTGTTTTATTCATCAGATATTTTGGAGAAGAAGTAATGTAAATTGGGAGCACTTACATAATTGGAAATTGCAATAACAGCAATCTATGATAAAATTGAATTACTTTTTAATTAAACCAGACATATTCTAATTTGTTGAGAGTTTCCTCATTAAATAATAGGTTATAATACAAATTTTTAACATTTATGTAGAACTAAAATTTCAAGATGCCTGAGTTTGATTTTAACAGTTCCATTGAGGTTTAATTTTTAATCATTTCTATAGCATTAAGTGTTTATTTTTTATTTATTCCTTGTATGAAAAAAGGTTCAAAGATGTAGCTATTTTTGGTAACATATATACCAATTGAATGTTATAACAGAATTTATCAGTGAAAAAGAAATGAGATCAAGACTAGATAAATCTAAAATTTCAAACGGTCTGTAATAATCAAATAGAATAATTTTATAAGATTAATATTAAAATATAATAGAAATCATTATTGTAAGTGCTTCCTAAAGTCAGATGATTTTGTAATGTAATTTTAAATTTGAGCAAAAATTTTGTAATAAGGAAAGTTATGTATTATAATATAAAAAATCACGTTTTCTGTAATAGCAGTGTACACATTTCTTCTGTGTATCATCAAGTACTGTCATTTCGGAATAACTGCAATTTGAAATATTTTCCTCAGTGAGGTAAAGCAGCTAGAAGTCTTGTCTCTAATCTCTACATTTCCTTTCTTTTTGTGACATAAATGAATCCTTCTGAGAATCCATTAAACTACACACAAAGAGCTTTGTTGCAAATAGGAGATGATTTTTTAAAGGGGGAAAGCATGTGGTTCAAGATACACTGTCCTCAAAATGTTAAATATGTTTCTGACTATATCCAACTAATTCCTGGTAAGAAATTATTATTTAAGAAAAAAAGAAAGAAGGTAAGAAAATTTAGTTTTTTCCCCCCAATATGCTTTTGAATTGTTATATAAATACAATTTAATTTTTTATTTATATATGCAAAGATCAAATCAGTCTCATGCATTTTTTCAGTGTTATCTTGCACTGTACATAATACCACATTCTTGAAGTTGGTGTGATTGGTAACAACCCCCCTCTTTAGTTTACCAGTTTCTCACCTCTTTTTTTTGCCTATATAACTAGACCTGCTGCAAACAATTTCACTCTAAAAAATCTCAGACTTTTAATGGTGAGCCATATTTACAGAAAACCATAAAATAAATCAGTTTTGAAATATAATTGAAATCTAAAGTATCATTCAAATTGAATCATTCTTTTAAATAATTATTCCATGTCTTTACCGCCCAGGTGGGAAAGTGGTAAGTGACTCTGACTGCCGTACCGAAGGGCCCCAGGTTCAAATCCTGGAGAAGGCATGGATGTAAATTATCTGTCCTTTCACAGGAGACAACAGTAGCCACCTATTAGGTACCTCCATAATAAAAATGACCATTGCTTCTGACATTAATGGTGGCTAAAATCTAAAATAGATAGCTCCCACCATAAAAAAAACCCACCTTTCTGTGTAACTTAATTACTTTATTTATCAAAGTTAGAATAAATATTTCATTTTGCTAAATTAGAAAGATTGTAGAAAAATGCTTTTACTTTTAAGGACTGAAATATTTTGACTTTATTGCATATTTTGCTATAAAACCTAATCTCTAAATTTAGTCCTGAAGCTCCAAGGAAAGAATGCTGAAAGAAATCCTTTACAATGGGTCGCCAGATTTCATAAATACATGATGATTCTGTTTTTTGAACTGTCAAGGCAATTTTATAACATTTAATTGAGATAAAGTCCATGAATCTTCGCTAGGTGTTGCGCTTTCATTATTTTCTGATTGTTACAATAAAAATCAAATCTTGTGATAAACAGTATAGATTTTTTTAACCCATACTATTACTCTGATGTATCTATTATGATATCTTTTACAGAAAATAAAGAGCTCACTCATAAAACACAAAACAAAAAAACTTCAAAAGTAATTAGTGCTTTGAGGAAGAATTATAGGTTTTGTTTATATCATGTTTTAACGAAAGCTTCCCACCACCACAAATATCGCCTGCGCAAACAGTTCACGTTGGTATGTTTAATCATATTTTGTCAAACGATTTTTGGCATTTGAAAGAAGGAGACTTGCTTTTGAAAACTGTGAAATTTGTAAAAAAAATGCCGCTATCATTAAGCACAGGGTATCTGAAATGGAACTATCATGCTATGAGATTAGAACCATCATTTACTTTCAGTTCTGTTGCAAAAAGTCAGCTACAAAATGTTACCAAATCATGTCTACAGCTTTAGGTACTAATGTTGTATCATGTGATTCTGTGAAGGTTTGGTACCAAAAGCTCAAAAACAAGGAATAAGACATTCAAGAAGCAGAGTGTTCTGACTAGCGTACTTATGTTGATAAGGGCCGCCTACAAGAACTCATGGTATCAGTATGCAACCTTTCGAGAGCTTGCTAAGGAATTAGATGTTAATGTTATCTCCATTAGTCGTGCTATCCATCGCATATACTTGTGTTACAAGTTCAATCATTGGGTGCTGCGTGAGTTGACTCAAGGAGATCAGGACAGACACGTTTGGACTTGCACTAATCTGCTCGAATATCAATGCAAGGAGAAAATTCTGGCCTAGATTGTCACTAGTAAAGAAGTGGATTTACTTCAACAACAGAGGGTGAAAGGGGGTTGGTCTGCACCCGGTGAGCTCATCAGCAGCGTCACAAAGCACAATTTGACTATGAAAAAGATCATGCTTTGTATCTGGTGGTATTGTTGGGGTATTATTCTCAAAGAATATCTGGAAAAAGGCAAAACCCTTGACAGTAATTTCCTAGACCATGTTAACGATGCTATCAAGGCAAAACGTTGAACTGAGTTCCGACGCAAAAAAAAATAATGTTCCATCAAGGTAATGCAAGACCACATGTGTCTGCATTCACCGGCTGGACTCAGTATGGACTTGAATGGGGTCTTTTGCCACACCCACTATCTAGTTCTGACATACTCCTTCAGACTTCAATTTTTTTCACACCTGCCGCTACATCTTGCTGGTGCTATCTTCCATTCTACTAGGACGTGTGAAATGAGGTTGACTGTTTTTTGACTAGCGGCCGAGAAGTTTCTGGGCCGAAGGCTTTAAAAAATTAATCAAAATATTGGCTGAAAATCATAGATTTGGGTGATGATTACAACTTGCACTAAAGATACTGCTTTCATGTTTTCCTTTTCCCCCTAACTTTATTAAAAACACTTTTTGGCAGAAAACTTTCTTTATAACCAGATATTTTAGAAATATAGGCTCCTAAAATGCTTATTTAAAAAGGTAAAATAATGAAAAAGTAGATAAAATTAAATAGGTATTTCGTATTCGGAAAATTGAGAAATAAAAATAAACATTACCTCAAATACAGTTGTCAAGGAACTATCAAGGTCAACTATTTGTACCATTCAATTATTGTGCATTGTACATACATGGTAATGTCTCTAATCACTAGGCTGTCAAGCCCATCTTTTAAGGTAAGCCCTTTTTTTGCGGGGGGGGGGGGGGTCATGCATACATGTCATATTTTATCTTAAGCATTATCACCATGTATAACTGGCAGTCGTCTAGGAACTGTTAATCAAGCTTTTAAATATATTAACTTACTTGCTGGCTCAAAAAGGAAATAACAATATGAGTTAAGGAGATGTAGCTTTAAAAAAAAAAGAAAAGAAAAAGAAAGAATTGACAGTTTGATCAGCTTGATTTTCCTGCTTTTTCCCATCATTATATAGAGGAATCTTAATTCAGTTAGAAAGTTATTTTAACCTTTTCCTGGGGGCTACATGTATGATTAATGCATTTTCTATATTAAATGAGGCTCAAAGAAATTGTATTTAATATGGAGATTTAAAATTCTCTGTTTAGTGCAGAGCAAGAAATGGCACATCATGTTGATTTGTTTTCTGTTCCATACTGATTATATAGTGTACCAAATAGCTTCAATACATTAAAAATAGTCTCTGTAGTCCATGTGAAAAGGTTAAGTATCTTAAAAATCCTGTTTTCAAATGATTCTGAAATTAAGCTTATATTTATCTATATCATAAATACTTTTATATATCATCTTTGAATGTTGATTTTCACATTTCAATATGTCATGCGTAAAGAGACTAAATGGATATATTCCATTGTGTTGCGGATAAAACAAACATAATACAATGTGTCCACATTGGCCTTCCTTTGTTACTGCTAACCCAGATCAAAACTTTGAATATTAGGAGAAATTTCTCCCAGTTTTTAAGAAATCCTTAACTAAATCCAAAAATTCTAAAATGAAAAGGAAATGTGCTGAAGAATACATAAAGAAAATTATTCTTCAAAGATATGTGCAGTTATTATTATGTAAATTACCCAATTGTTTATGATTTCAGCCTTTACTATAATTTTCCATTTTTGTTTCCTCGTACGATAGAGTTACTGAACCAGATTAAATTAAAATTAAATTGTATAATCTTTAACCACTAGTCCACATTTTTAGTTTGAATTTGACTGTTCTTGTTTAATTACGTCACCGTGAGATGTAATTGACTTTCATCATTAGCATCGGAACATGCCTTTACGTTTGTTCTAAGTTCTTTTTAAATAAGAAGACAATATCAGACAAAGGTTCTTATTTAAACCTTTGTCTGATATTGTAGTTACTTTCAGACATAGTGATAATTTGCTTCACGTCTATCGGGGATTTGGGACTATTTAACTTTTACAAGGTCAAGCAAACCCTCATCGGTACATTGTGGAGAGGTTGACAAGTTAGGATGCAGAAACTAGCGAGAGCATTGGTTTGCTTATTGAGACAAATCTCTAATTATTGATTGAAAAGATGCTTTGCTGAAAGAGAAAAAAATCGATATAAACTAGCAAAATGTTTGGGAAGGCTTCAAATTAAAATGACGGATAAATATTTTGTTGAATGTTGTTGTTACAAAACATAAATGTTATGTAGCTTCTAATACTATGTAATTATTTAATATCCTTTAAGAATGAGTGTCATAAATTACATGTATTTTAAACTGTGAAATTTTATTAGATTTTGATTTTAATAGGGCTTTTTAACAAATATTGTTTAAAAATAAAATGTAATAGTGGCCATGTAAATCCATAATGACTAAGGTTACCTATTTACCTAATTTAATTATTTATAACTAACTGCTTACCATTAAAAATTATCTCTATGTATTAAAGCGAGTTATTGCCTTTCATTAATACTCACTTTGGTCACAAGAAAAAACACAAAAATGTAGAAATTCAAGTAAAACTTATTCTTTGCATCTAGTGAGACTTAAAATAATACTAAACAACTTATCACCTCTGGTGCTTTAATGGCTTATTGGGACCTTAAAGTATATTAACTGGGTTACAACCTCTGGAACTCTACACAAAGCTATGATACTAACTGCATCAAACAGAGCCTGACTAAATTTCAACACTTGCCAACCGTGCGTACAAGTTTGTTCGAATCAGCATGTCTCTCTCTGGACAATCAGCAGCGGTGATAACATTCAGTCTTTTGTTATGGATAAGGCTAATTATGATCTTACTTCATATTTTAACCTATGCCATTTGACATAAAATCTACCTGCTATTTGCTAGACCTCTAGACTAGCAGTTCTCAATCTTTTGACTAACATATACCATCTAAACAAAAATTAAAAACCTTTAGTACCACCACTGCAAAGTTCTACTACCACCACCACTCTTGAACAAAGCTCAGATCGCATAAATGTATGAGTGTTAGAAAAAAACTCAATCAGGATGTTGGGGTTTTAATTTTTGAAATAAATAGTTAAAAATTCTTTGCTTCTTTATGTACCACCTATTTTTTTCTTGCAAAAAAGACTAGACTGAAAAAGTATGTGATAAAATTAGACATTAAAAAAAAAATCAACATAAAGCTAACTTAGTAAAACCTAAATGTCACTTATTTTCTTTCAAATATTTCCAACCTATTATAAGTATAAAATATTTAATGCTACTTGATAAACTGCATAAAGTGTATTTTATTTTCAAACTTAATAAAAATTATGTTGATTAATTCATGTTTAGTAATAATGCATATTACTTAGGGATCTATTTTATTTTTAGGATGGCATTACAAAAGTGAAATTCAGGCATAGAATAATATTTTTAATTGAATTTATTCAGTTTCCATTTGCTCATAGGTCTTTTTTTTATTAATGGCCCTTAAAAGTCCTTAAAAAAGTACTTACCATATTTGACAGCATATAAGACGCACTTTTTTTCCTAAATTTGGTCTCAAAAAAGTTACCTGCGTCTTATATGTGAAGGTAATTGCATTCAGTAATTGTCTATTTGGCTTTTACGAAACGTGAGAACTAAAAGAAACCACGCTATTGAAACTTTTTTTCCTTGTGTGTGGCCATCTAAATAAGGGTGCGTCTTATATGCCGTCAAATACGGTAATTTCCATGTGCAGAAATGTGTACGAACCCTGATAAAATATTTTGATATTAACATGAGAAATAAATCAGAACAGAGGTAAAATTATGTATAACTAATGTTTCACTAATTTGTTCATATCACTGCCAAATGGTTTTTTTTTTTTTTTTTTTTTTTTTTTTTTTTTTTTTTTTTAATGAGTAGCAGTTATTTTTGCTTTGCAGTGGAACAGTTGTGGCCTGTGCTTGGAGTTGGTGTGGAAACTATCTTCTTAGCTGTGACAAAAATAAAAGAGCTATTTTGTGGTCTGAATTTTAAAGAACAGCTATGTCACTCATGAAAATCTCCTTTATTTGTACAAAAATTCTAATGTTGTATATGTTTGTAAATACTGTACTGTAAAATGTGTGAATGAAAGAATGTTGTTTATATTTCATTGCTTTCATTTGGATGAAATTTTTAGTATTGATAAGCTTCTTTAATTTGCTGTAAACTGCCATTTGCATGTTCTTTATCTGAAAGATATACATAAGGTTTTTAAGGAAATTTTTCATAAGATTGTATGTACTTAAAGCTTTATTGCAGGTTTTTGTTTTAATACTACAGTAATGAAAATTGAGATTTCATGTTAGGAAATGTGTACTCAATAAAATGTAAGTATAAAAGTTAGCACAGTCAGAATTAAGTGTTTTCATTTATAAAATTTCAAGTTTAAAGAGTAAAATTATTGATTAGTTATAAATTTTAGACCCTTTGAATGTAAATTTTTAACAGCCATTTTTATGTTTTTATCATATTGGTACTTTTTTGTGAGAATTGTTCAAGATAAAGTTAAAAGTAGATTTTTTAAATTAGTTCCTTTTAGAGAACATTTAACTTATGGCTGAGCATTTCACTTCCACTATAGAGAATGATTTAATAATACAGTCAAAAGTCATTAATCCGGACTCGTTGGGACTTCGGCAATTCCGGATTATCGATTTTTCCGGATTATAGATCATCAGTTTAAATCTGGTAAGATGGCATGCAGAAATTATAAAATTAAAAATATGAAACCGTAATTTATGAAATAAAGAACAATTATGATCTAAAGAGTATCAAAATTTACACAAAAAAAAAGCTTAATATTTATTTGTTTACTTTATTAAACATTTCTTTCAATGTAAGTTGTTTAGGTTGCGTCGTTTTTTATGTGATAATACTTTCTCTTTAATTCTATAAACAGACATAATTTCTTGTTCAGTTACAAAGTTACGTTGTTCAAGTCCTATGATTGCAGTGTCGAGAATACCGACTAATTTGTCAATCGAAATTTTTTCGTTTTCAATAACCTCTGTGTCACTTTCTTCGCTATCGGAAGCAAATTATAATGAAGAGGAATTTGATTTAAATTATATCAAAGACGGAGTACGTCGAGATGAAATACTACATTTAGTAAGGAATTATAAGCCAAATAAAATAAAAACATCTGCCCTGAAGATAAAGACAAATAAACTTCCAATTCGTTGCACACTGCGGCATCCCCCCCCCCGCTGGAGGTTAGCGTGAAATTGATGAACAGATTTCGGAATGGTTAGATAAACAAAGGATATGCCTTTGTTTTCTTTTTTTTGCAGCAATTCCACTTTTTGTTTAATGGACTTCGAAACATACATTCGCTTTGTAGATCCTTTACATATTAGTAAATATATATCAGAAATTCTATTTGACATAATCGAAAGTTCAAGCTTACTTTTATAAAATTGCTCTAACAGTCTTCAAAAAATAATAAGCCAGTTCCAATTCGAAGATTAAGGAACAACGCAAACTGCAGCATTAACTGAAATAGGTAATTAGATAATTTTAGCTTAGCTTGTACCGTCCGTTATACATTAAACGCGCATGCATATACATATTATGCGCATGCGTACACGCATATTTGCAGCCGTAAAGGTCTTACGCGCATGCGTCAACGCGAAAGATGCGCAGCTTTGAGGTCCGAATTAACGACTTTTGACTGTATTCAAAATTTATTTAACAGTTTATTGGTGCTTCAAAGTGAAAAAGCAAAACTGTGATAGTGTGTTATTGACCTATAAACTGATGTGTAGTAGAAATGTATATAGCTTTGTATGATTCCTGTGTAAAAATACAGACAAGAAAAATATTTTATAAAAGAAAAGTTCTGAAAAGGCTGTAAATATATCTAAATAGCATTTAAGCTGTAAATAATCGTAGCATAAACAACCCATGCACTTATGTTATTTGTTTAACTCATTGCTCAAGTTTATTCAGAATTTAAATAACTTCCATATAGCTTGCACAACTATAATATAGGCAATTTAAGTACTTCTAAAGAAGAAAGGCACTTGTGTTGGGAGAGTTGTCTAAATTGTACAATTTAGCATGCCATTGTTTTGTTTGATTCTAATTTGCATACAAATCATTACTGCAAACTATTTTAATATTTAATGCATCTGCTTTTATACATTGAACTTATTTTCAACAGCAAATTCACATGTAACCGTTTTTAAAAAGTATAGTGTTAAAATATAGGATACGAGTAATAAACCTGAACTGTGAGCAGTAGCCATGGCAAGCCTTCTGATAATTAAACAAATGAACCAAAACTGCATAACAGCTCTTCAAAAGTCATACTTCTACCTTTAAATATTACTATAAAATAGTTGCAATGAGAAAAGCGCATATAACTGGATGTCTGGTGTACTGAGTAGGCTATTTTTATTCTTGAAAACCCTAACTTAATGAGTTAATGATGCAATATGCTACAAGTATGAAGTTTCATATATATGTGTTGTGTATACACACTAAATATAATGAATGACATATAGGTGAGAAAATATATTTTTAAGATAAGTACACTGTGCAAAAAAAAAAGGGGAACAGCTCAATATCTCCCAGTCTACTGGGCCAATTGACGAAATTCAACTTGCATTTTTTATGTCTCGAAAGCGTGACTTAGAATATGTATTAGATTTATACATAGCATTGTTCTAATATAGGTATTTTGACACAAAATCGGACTTTTTCTGAAATGACATGCCCTTTTTTTCTCCATATTTCGATTCTACGACCTAAATAATTCCAAACTGCCAAATTTTGTAAAAGTCGCACGTGTAGTTTTTAAAAAATTAGCTCTCAAAATTTTAACTACTCAATGTTAATTGAATGTGGTATATATTTATTATTCTCTCTTTTTTTATTAAATTTATTTGATTCTTCCATTCACATTTCGAAATTTAGGTTCGTTCCAAATAAATTTCGCTCATTTTTTATGATTTATTTTTAAAATATGTATTTTAAAATAATTTTATAAATTTTTCAAAAAAATTTTTGAATTATAACCTATAAAAATTTTTATTACCGTAATTTCCGGAAGAAAGGCCGCATCAGAGTAAACGCCGCACTTGAGAAAAATGGCGGGAAAAAATTAAAATTACACAGAAACTCCGCATCAGCGTAAACGCAGCAATAGATTAAATTGCGCGTGACATCGTCGTGGGCCGTATAGATGCAAAAACTCAACCTAAGTCCTGATATATGACATACCAGTTAAGAAAAATGCATGAAATGAAACCATAACTCAAAAATAAATTAAAGGCAAGAAATGTATAGCTTCTGTGCCGTTTTTTAGGTGACATTTTCAAAAATTTTCAAAAACTCCCTCTCCGCTACTTAAAAACTATTCAACAAGTACTTGTACCCAAACTGATGGGGATCTGTATTTGGCAGAATGCCAAGAAAAATCCATTTCATGCTGAAGGGAAAATACGTCAGAAGTTCGTTCACTGCAAAGGCAGGTGGAGTCGTGTCCGCCTTTGAAAAAAATTGTAATAGATTTATAATGGAAAAGGCAGGGGTGGGGAGAAGATGGGTTTTGGAAGAATTATCGAATGGCAGAGAAGAGAGACTGATGAGAATGCTGATTCAGTCTTCAGATGAGAATGCTTCTCTGCCATCGAATGGCAGAGAAGACTATTCAAACTGATGAGAATGTTGATTTGAAAGGGGGAAGAATGTTATTGTTCTCGAGATCCTCGTTTAAGGGTGAATAAAGCATGTAGGTCCGTTCAAGGGAAAGAATGTAAACAAAATAACGTTCGCAAAAAAGCAACTGAGTGGTCTTTTGTGTGGGAACAGCACCAGTCTATGCACAATGACAAGGCCATCCAAACTATGTACAATGACCATCATAGGAAATATTTTATTTTTAGTGCACCTAAACGCCGCACCCGCTGAAAATTAAAGTTTTAAACACGTAAACGCCGCGGCGTTTCTTCCGGAAATTACGGTATCTTAAAGTAGATGTGTTTCTAAGCATACCTGCAAAAAACCTTTCTTATTCAAAATTTCTGAAGATATATGGGAATTTATATATTGGCACATTTTGAAATTTGGCATATTTGTTGAAAGCTATAATAACATCAAATGTGGTTTAGGCACTTTGTTAAAATTATTTGAAAGTAGGAACAAAGTGACTTTTTTTATGCTCATACACAATGTAAAAAGGTAATAACGATGTGACTTTTTTCTGCTCTTCTACACTGGAAGGGAAAGGAAAATAATTTGCCATATATTAAGAAGTTTGCCAAATAAATTATTCCTGGCGAAAACTGAAAAAAAAAAAGCCCCAAGATAAATTTTTGAATATCTCCGTAAATTTCGCACCAGATTTTACAAAATTTAATGTTTATCGAAATTTGGAAAAAATTGTTATTTCAGAAAAAGTCCGATTTTGTTTCAAAATATCTATGTTAGAACAATGCTATATATAAATCTAATATATATCCTAAGTCATGCTTTCGAGACGTGAAAAACACAATTTGAATTTCGTCAGTTGGCCCACTAGAACGAGAGATGTAGAACTGTCCCCCCCCTTTTTTTTTTTTTTTTTTTTTTACAGTGTACATACAAGATAATATGAATTAAACTGAAGTTATTCTTAAAATTTTTAACTTGATTTAATGTAGTATGCCTTTGCATATTACTTCAAATTAATGTTCATTTATAAATTACTGGCATTTTGCTCACATAATTATTTGTTATTTTTTTATTTTGTTACACACCGATGGCATTTTCTATGCTGTTCATAATTTGATGTCATTATCTTCTCAATTAGCATTTGAAGTGGCATCATGTTTGCCTTGTAATGGTTCTTTTTCTCCTTTGTAATCACTGCCATCATCACCAGTTACTTTTTCCTTAGAATCACTATCCTCAAATTATTACGTTTTTATACTTTCTTGAGACAGTCCAGTATGTGCAAAAAACTGAAGGTGCATTTTAAAAATAAATGGGAATTTTTAATACTGTGAACTACAGCTATAAAGTATAATATTCTTATATGCAGCAAGAAATGATGCAAAAACTCCAGATCTCTTATGTAACTAAACAGATAGCACATTATGAACATAATTAGGTGTGCTAAATAGGTCTGATATGTTATATAATGTGTTATGTACTTAGTCTGTCAGTGCACCAGAGTGCTGAATCTGTCTAAGCATTTCAAGATACTCTCTTGTTTTTGCACATGCTCAAGATCAGACAAGAAGATTCAGATCATGATGTTTGTTTCAAGGAGATTGTAAAGAATTTGTAGATTAAATTAGTTAAGGTTTAAAAACAATTTTATAAATTTTATTTTTCCTGTTCATAGAAAGTAAATTTGTCAGTAGAAA